TTGCAGTCCTCCTGCCTTAGCTTGCGGAATCCCTGGGATTACAGACATGCACCATTGTGCCCAGTGTAAGATGTAGGTTTTGTTGGTAGCTAGTTTGAAACTTGAGATTAACCCAAATATTTCTTCAGCTAGGGTTAGAAATCTGTTTGTATTAATTTTTTATTGTTTTATCTTGTGTTTTGTGGGGGTTTTTTTGTTTGTTTCTGGTGTGTGTGTGTGTGTGTGTCTGTGTTTTGTGTGTGTGTGTGTGTGTGCTGGGGATGACCTATGGCCTTCTTTAAGCTGGGCAAGCACTCTACCTCTGAGCTGTATATCCTAGGCCTTTTTTAATTGTTTTGAGGCAGGTCTCACTAAGTTTCTCAGGCTGGCATTGACCTTGTGATCGCTCTGCTTCAATCTMCTAAATTCACTGGAATTATGGGCCTGTGCCACCCTACCTGACTTCCTGGATTGGAATGGTTGTTTGTTATAGCTAATGCTTAGGTCAACTCTTTAAGATGAGTTTTGCTTTAATAGTTCCATATTTTTCCACAGAAGCCATTTGTACACTTTTGTATTTYATATTTTGTTTCCTTTTTATTAATGCATAATTAAATAGATTTAGTGATAAACTTAATATATAAATAATAAAAGCAAGCAGCTATTGCCAGATGTGATGGTACATACCTGTAGTATCAGCTATTCAGGAGGCTGAGGCAGGAAGATTGCTTTGGGTCCAGGAATTTGAGGTCCTCCTGGGCAAYATAGCAAGACCCTGTCTCAAAAAGACAAAACCAAAAACTTAATAACTATTTTTCTGAGCATAGAGTGAGATAAATATGTTTTCAAATTTTACTTATTTCTGAAACTGATGTAGTCTCTGGGTCTTTATGCACATTGTGGCATATGTGTATTTCTTGGAGGACAAATAAATTATTGTCAAGCAAATAATTAGAAAGTGAGAAGGTCCTCCCAGACCAGCAGAAGCAGCAGCCAGAGCAGAAGCAGCAGCCGGAGCAGCTGCAGCCTGTGCCCTCTGCCACCGCACCCCCCCCCCCATTTCCCCTTTCCTCCTCTTCCTCCTACCCCCGCCCACCAGTTTTTGGCTTTCACCCCCACCAGTGACCAAAGACTTGACCACTCGAAGTCCAGCTCCCCATAACACTTCTCGACATGGACACCGGTGTGATTGAAAGTAGATTAAATGTCACTTTCACTATTTGCCTACTTATGTATGGAAAGGAAGTTGGCAGTATCATCAGAAAGAAAGGAGAATCGGTTGAGAAGATGCTCGAGGAGAGTGGTACATGCATCAATCTCTTAGAAGGGAATTGTCCCCAAGAGAATTATCACTTTGGTTGGACCCACTAATGCCATCTTCAAAGCCTTTGCGATGATCATTTGACAAACTGGAAGAGGACATTAGCAGCTCTATGACCAATAGCACAGTTGCCAGTAGACCTGGTCACTCTGAGGCTGGTGGTCCCTGCTAGTGTGGCTCTGTTATTGGTAATGGTGGCTGCAAGATTAAGGAAATATGAGAGAGTACAGGGGTTCAAATTCAGGTGGCGGGGGATATGTTCCCCAATTCAACTGAGTGGGCCATCACTATTGCTGGCATTCTGCAATCCATCATTGAGTGTGTCAAACAGATCTGTGCGGTCATTTTAGAGTCCCTACCCCTAAGGGTGTGACCATCCCATACCTGCCCAAGCCATCAAGTTCTCCAGTCATCTTTGCAGGAGGTCAGGACAGGTACAGCACAGGCAGCGACAGTACGAGCTTTCTTCACACCACCCTGCCCATGTTCCTCAACCCTGACCTAGAGGGACCACCTCTAGAAGCCTATACCATTCAAGGACAGTATGCCATTCCACAGCCAGATTTAACCAAGCTGCAYCAGTTGGCAATGCAACATTTTCCTATGACGCATGATAATACTGGATTTAGTGCAGGTTTGGATTCATCTGCTCAGACTACTTCTCATGAACTCACCATTCCAAACGA